CAATCCAACGTGGGATTTTTTCAAAATAATGCTTAATAACAAAGTTGAAATTCGATCTTCAACTGTTAATATCTTCTAGAAATTTTCGAAAAAAATTTTTTTAATGTTTTTCTGGTACTCCCCAAGGAAGCCTCTATCACCCCTTAAAAGGAATGACGCCAATTTTGAATCACCCTGTATACAAAAAAGAACACTCCAAAACAAGATAGAATATGAATACAGTACAATAGAAGTACAATAGCAAGCCGGTTTGAGAGTAGGAAGATTTCAAATTGACCACCTATTTACGCTGACTCAAATTGTGGAAAAAATCGCTTACAACCAGTTAGTGCATTTGCTATTTGTAGACCTTAAAAAAGCCGATGACAGCATCCTATAGTAAAATTATGGGAAGCTTTACAACATAAATGCTGAATGAAAATAAATGATCGACAGATTTATTACCGCACTAGTGCGCTAATAATTATAGAAGAAAATAATTAGAAACATTAATCTCACTAAAAACTAAGCTATTCGACAAAAACTCAGCAATTAGAAATTTGGCAAAACAATTTTTGATTCGCACATGCAAACGACTATTTCTCCATAATAAACTAAAATCTGCGCGAAACTTTGAAATGAGTTGCTTTGAATGCGTCTGTGCTTGGCATCGTGTATAGAATTAAAAATAATGTCAATTGTTATTGATGTCTACTCCATTCAGCAGCCATCTGCCAAAGAATGTAAACTCGAAGAAAACAATTTAAAAACTAATCACAAATCAAAGCTAAAGACTTGAGATATGTTTGTTAAAAAACAGCTGCCTGAGTACCCAATGGTTGGCAATCTGCTATTTCAGAAAGAGCAATAGAAAAACTGCCTAAGTTTAAACAAGTTTCGCAATGCTTTTAGGTAAAATTTTTGAAAAAAAAACTTTAATCAGTGTTTTAAATGTGATTTTTCAATGGCAATGTGGCAATTTTGAATTACTCTGTACACAGGATGATCATAATTTCGAACGGTTTCCTATAGTCAATATGATCACAATATTTCTTTCAGGGTCAATCGTATATTTCTCAGATATGGCCAAGTGTCCTTACTGTTCATGCAGTCGCAGCAGTACGATATTAATTAAGCCACAAAGACATAATGTAACACGCCTCATCCACTGTTCTGAAATTGTTCAGCGTTAAATTTCTATCGTGCATGTGTAGATACATATTAAGTTTTGTGGTCTGGTTTACCGCTAAGAGTTTACCAATTAAATTGGAAACGCGTTTTAAATTTCCAATTTACTGTCGCGTCGATATTGCGTTTGATTTTAAATCTTGTTTCAATTTAGTTCCAATGCCAGAGAGACATAATTTGAATTCTGTTTTAGTCAATACCAAACCGGACGTGATTAGGATATTCGATGTAAACGCTTTAGTTTGGGTCACTAACTTGTACTTTGGAGGAGTTAAAAACTACTGAAAAAATTAGTCTTTCTGAAAGCTGAGATTATCGCAAAATAAACTTAAAATACACTTTTACAGATCGGAGAATCATTTTGCAAGTTGTGAGATTTGAAGTATATTGTTTTGTCTACAGGAAAAAATAATAAAGCATTATGATTTGGCAATTTGCAATTTTTTTTACATCATCCAGTGCATTTGCAGTGAGCAAATAAATAACCATTTCTAAACTCTAAACTACACTGATGGACAAAATTAGCGTACCACCTAAACATTTTCGAATGAATCATTTTTCCCCAATTGTCTTTTAATCCCTTTCGATTCATTCCAATGCAAGTTTCTACTTGTTTTGTATCATTTGCAACATCCCATCATTGTTCTCAGCAAGTGTGATGTTTTCGATTCAATTTTCTTGCCTTTTTCCTAACTTGGGTGTGTAATTAAAGTTTATTCGCACTGAAATGTCCCCAGGAAGAAATGTAAGTGAGTTTGACGCGGTCAAAATTGTCACCTTGTTGGAAGAAGGGTATTCCCAACGTGAGGTCGCCCGAAGGTTGGGTGTTCATCACACCATTATCAATCATCACCATTGGTCGATGTCTTCAGCGTTTTAGGGAAACAGGTTGCCATGCTACACGACCAGGGCAAGGCCGACCAAGATCCACAAACCAAGTGCACGATCGTCTGATACGACTGCTTTAAGAAATCAGTTTATTACCGGAAATGAAATAAAAAAAACAAATTGAAAATACCCGAAATGTTGCAATTTCTTCCAAAACGGTAAGAAGAAAGCTCAATGAATCCGGACTGAGTAAAAAACATCCTGCAAAATGTCCTCTCTTAACTATAGCCCACAAGCAAGCTAGGCTCGAGTTTGCTCGAGAACACGTGGATTGGGTTTTGGATGACTGGAAGAAAGTCTTGTTTACTGATGAAGTTAGAGTGGGTTTAAAATCTTCGGACGGGCGAGTTTTTATTTGGAGAAGACCAGGAGAAAGATAGAGCGAAGCATGTATGGTCCCATCTGGCTTTCCGTGGTGGGTCAATAATGTTTTGGGGTGGAATTTTTTTGGAGGCTCGTACGGACCTTGTGGTGATCCGAGGAAGACCATTAACTTCCCAGAAGTACACTCAAGAGATTTTAGAAAACCATGTCGTACCTTTTGCACTTCCGGCGACAATTTCTTGTTTATGGATGATAATGCAAGACCGCACCGAGCTCTGATCGTGCGCGAATATATCTTAGTGAGGTTGGCATTCAACGTTTTAAGCAGGGCCATTCGTACGGTAATTACAAGTACATGTACGGTACTTGGGCAATTGTACAGTGTAGGTCGAACGCGTTGCCGTACGCCAATTGTACGGTATTTTGGTATATTTGTACGGTAGACACCATGGGACCTTGCTTTTAACCAGTGCGAAGGCCATTTTCATGTCTGAGACCTATGTCAGCCATGTCCTCAGCCTTCAATCTGGATTTATGGAATCCACATTGAAGACCTTTTTTGTTTTGCTGGACCTTTCTGTTTTCAAAATCTCTGGTACGGTAAAATACAGTATTTTCAAATGGCTTGTACGGTAATACGCGTTTGAAAAGTGGGCCATCCTGGTTTAGAGTGGCCAGCGCGTAGTCCTGACCTTAACGTGATTGAAGATGTTTGGGATCAGCTGAAACGACGTTTTCGACGACGAGATTGTACTCCTGAGAACTTTGCTGAACTGGAAAACGCGGTTCTTCAAGAATGGCACAACATACCCCAAGAATTCATTATAAATCTTTTGTATGGCATTCCAAGACGTTTGAGGGACGCTATTCGAGCTAGAGGCGGCAATACACGCTATTGAATCGGTTAAAGACGAAAACTTTACCTGAATTTCAAAATGTATTTTTCATAAATTTTTACCAAAAATCTGATAAGCTATCTTCATGCTTTGTTTTAATTTTTCTTTCGAAAACATTCTCATTTTAATTTAAAATACAATGATTTAAATTTTGATAAAAGTATGTAGGGTTTATAATATTTCTTCTTTGAAATGTATAGATGGTGCGCTCATTTGGTCCATTAGTGTATAACAGAAATGTTTAAAAAATTATGGCATAATATTATTTATAAAATTCAAAAGATACAAATTTGTACATTAATTAAAATAAACTGGAAGAAAATTGTATATGCAAACAAAGTTTGGTTTTAAAATAACTGAAAATCCCGAATTTCTATAAACGAAGTAGCAGTACATTTCGTGGAAAGTTAAAGACAGTGTTAAAAACTAATTTCCAATATTTGAACAAAGAATCAAATAATATATCCCAGTAATACAAGGTGTTCATGCCAATCCGAAATAAGTGAAACAAAAGCTCTCAATCTCAAAACAATAAATATGATTTAAAAACAGTCAATTGTTCTATACGAGCTTTTATTGAAATAATAAAATGTTATTTGTTTATACTGGTCCAGTAAGTACTACTCCATTATTAATATACATATACAGTAATTTCGCGTACGTGGAACACACATATTTTAAGCTCGTTCACTTAATCATTGAAATCTCCAAACCTAATTTCATTCTGCTAACGGGGCGATTTTAAAAGCACAATGGGGCGAATTAACCGCGTAATTTATAAAACAGGACCAAACACAAAACCGAGTAAAAATGATAATCCTACCTTTCCTCATTTTACCCTCGAGGTCGGGCGGTTTACAGTCTAACGAGGCCATAGTCATTATTTTTCGCTTGTGGTTGCACAATTTTGTCAGGTCCCCCGTGTTTGTGTCAGGAGACAATACCCATGGCTTCGCTATCACCTGAAATTAAATAAATTTACCTTCAATTTGCATTTTCTTTCAACTTCAATCCTAAATATATAATTCAATCAGCTCGGTCCACCGAATCTTGGTGACAAATATGTAACAAAACTCACAAAGCTGGAAATTCCAACTCAGAAAACATAAGCTTAAAATATTGTAAAAAATAGAATTACAACAATAGCCCTAGTGCTGATAAGATGAATGGTCATGTGAATATCACGCGTTTGGCATCAGGCAGAAACAGAAATTTAGACGACTGGTTTATGTAAATGAAATGAAAATATTGACACTTTTCGTGTTAATGTTCCAAGCAGGTTGCCATCCATATCTAAGGCGTCGCTGTATGTGTTTTACTATTGCTGAAAGCAGGTGATGTTAAAGAGTATTTCAGTTAGAAAATTAATGGCATTAGATGTGCCAAGATATGTGAAAATTAACGCTGTACCTATTAGGCTCGTCAGTTATAACAGTAAAACATATTCGTAAACATTATAATCAGTTTGGCATGCTTTGGACTTCAACGAATTAGTAAGCAATATTATTGATGAATATTTAAAATGCTCACCGAACTATTCGATGGCAGGAATCGAATTAATTCGATTAACCTTTAAAAAAGAATTAAATATACGGAACGACAGTTAAATTAACATTCGCGACAATATGCGATTAATGATATCAAAGAGAGATGCGATAGCAGGTGTTTGCCCGGAATGCAGTATTTTAATTTACAGGTAATTCGGGTGACGAGAAACACGGAAATGCACAATAAATATGAAGCTTTGGAGAAACAATTCGAATTAAAAACGAAAGAGAAATATATAGAAGTTGAATACAATTTTACCTATGTAGACAAAGAGATGCAAACAAGACACAAATTCAACGACACAGATAGTTAATTAACATAAAATAATTATTAATTGAACTATTCGAGATTTATTTCAGTGAGCTGACTGATTGACAGTCCCATTTTCACGATATTGACTACAATTTTACAAGAAAAAAAGCTATTGGATCTTAGAGAACCTGTAAACATATCGAAATAGAGATTGCTATTGCTTCCCTACCATAACAATATTGAATAAGATTAAGTAATTCGAATTATTATCTCCATTATTACTTATGAGATACTAGTAATCTCTCTATTATGAAAACAACTCGACACACCCATAACTAATTAAAACAGCTTTCACTCAAATAATTTGAAGTTTCCGTGCAGGTTCTTTATTATATTTGCTAATAAACACCATAATCATATTAATGCAATGCTATTTATGAATAGCAAGCAAAAGTTTTGTGGGTATATCAAACAAAGACATTGTTATTGTACAAGCTCAAGACCGCATATTGCAAACAATCAACGGGGCATTTACATGTAAATATTACTTTATTTAATGCTTGCGAGAACTGAAACCAGCAAACAGCCAATGCAATATTAAATAAACGCTTCGTAAAATGAATCAAAAAAATGTAAATTATATGTTTCATACAATTTTAGTCATAAGTAACGGCAACATTTTTATCAGATCGAAGAACAAATTAGTTCCTGTTTCCAACATTTTTTCTGTGCTGTTTCTATTTCTAGTATTTTTTATCAGCGAATAAATTTTCGCTCCGCAAACATTGCTACATTAAAAAACCATTCCAAATGACATAGGATAAATGCATTAAATAATGGTGACCTTCTACTAGCAGACTAATGTTAAATATTCTACACATTTTACTGCTGTGAGACAGTATGGCCATAATGTGAAAGTTTACAACAATGCAAATATTTCCACATCGATTTATGAAATGAATCACGATGTTAATGAAGAAAGAAAAAGAAAGTACCAACCGTATGATTTTTTGCAGTTATTTAACGCGGAGAGAAATACGCTTTACTGTTATTTATTTCAACCCAACTAACTAACCATGCTTTTCAGAAAAGATCATTTGTAGTAAACGAAGATATCATCGGTTAACTAACTAATCATCTAAACGGCATTCGTTTTAGTCCACCCTTTTATGTGGAGGCTTTAACTTGACAGTGGAAGCGCAAAAAATCGCGGTATAATAAACCGTAAAGCCCACACATAAAACAGCGATCGAAAGGTTGAGGGGCTGCATTATTTACTGAAGATAATACAAACCGAAACGTATATCAATAACATTTAAAAACTTGTTTGCTTCCGTTATTTTTAAGTTTTGATTAAAAATTAGCTATATTCACAGCAGGTATTTGCTTTATATATATATATAAATAATCTTTATTTCCTACAGAAAAAGGCTATCGACCCAATCGGTCTTTCTGCCCTTGTTTAGTATATATGTGCCTTAG